GAGCCACTGACTCCTGGCCAAATTCTCAGGGTTTTCTGAGGAGTCTAGAATATAGTCTGACTCTCCACCCTTAAACACAAACACATTGTTCAGGGCCACCACGAAGGGAAACATCCCCTCTTCCTCTTCAGCACCTGCCAAGCACCAGGACAGATGCAGCCATAACTCTTAGGGCCTGACTTTTTACAGCTCTGACAGTGTAAAGGCATTATAGTATGTGTAGTGTGGCAGGTGGGGGGACTTAAGGGGAGCCCCCCCGCATTCACTCCCAAGCAGGAAGCAGCAGGAAAGGGAATGCCCCTGATAGGGAGCAATGATCAGGACACAGAGATCCCAAGGGTTATTGGTGCCAAGGGTTGTAGCTGGGGGTTGCCAAAGGTGTGAGGTGGGGATTTGCGTTCACACAGCTTGACTCTCCCCGTAGAGCTGCAGGTGTTTGTTCTCTGCCCCTGCAAACACCGGTGTGAACCAAACCTTGCAGCACTGACGTTCTTCTGGTCTCTGGCTCGTATTGCTGAGCTGAGGGCACAGGACTAGGGTGACCAAACAGCAAGTGTGAAAAATCGGGATGGGAGTGGGGGGGGGGTAGTAGGCACCTATAGAAGAAAAGGCCCCAAATATTGGGACTGTCCCTACAAAATAGGGACATCTGGTCACCCTACACAGGACCATTCCCCTCTCAAGTGGCACATGTGGGAGAGTGACTTGCCCTGGGAAAAAGCTTACAATTGCCAGGAACCAATCAGTAGAAATGAGGAGGAAAATACATTTTTAAGCAAGTTGTGCACTGGAGTTAAATCTTTTTTTTTTTTAAGTGAAAGTTATTCTCGAGCACACAGCGAGAAATAAAAGAGCTCTGACTAATGTGAAAGAGCCTCCAAATCGCTCTGGGCAGAAATAGCCAGCACCAGATCCCCTCCCTCTATTCATCTCTAAAGCTCACAGCCAAAAGAAATAAACCATCTCGCGATCTCACTGACTAAACCTGTACTGTTGTGTAGCCGGATCAGAACACAGCCAACATTTCCATACAATGCTACACCTGCGTATTTACTGTAAACACAGATGGGACCCTGCTATATGCTATACATCTTTCTATTTAAAAGGACAGGGGAAAGAATCAGACTTTTTTGCCACCACTGAATTTAAAATGAAGTGCAACCTGATCTACTGACCTCCAATGTGCTGGCTAAAATTGCCATCATAACAGGAGTTGACTTGTCCATGCAAAACAAAGCCTGTATTTATTATTCAGCATGATATTAAGGCCTCATTCTGTAACACATGAGTGATCCGTACTCAGCTGAGTGAATGGGCCTTCTCTCGTGAATTAGGCTTGCAGGACTAGACTTTTAAAATTAAAGCCAAGATTGACTATTCTACTACTTCCATTCATTTTAGAGACAGATTCAGTGGAACATGTAAAACACTTCGTGATTCTAGGGGAAGGTTATCAAGCAAAACAATCCACAATATTTATTGCTAGTAATTTTTTAAGTCCGCCTAAGTTCCCTTTGCTAGAATGGAGCTGAGAGCCCAGTGAAACAGAGACAGGTTAGAACATCAGGAGATTTCAGTAAACCAGACTTGACAATGCTTGCTAAAATCATCACACCCCCAGATTTATTAAGTCTAGAACTAGTTTATGACCCTCTCTTTGTTATCTTAAACTGTTATGTTATTTGATTTGTGAGAATCATGTATTATAAAAATCTTTACATTGGTGACATATTTTAGGAATAGCACAGAGACTTCAAAATCTGGAAAAAGGACCTTCTTTGCTTTAAAAATAGTCAAATGCCTTGCCATTTATTACATTATATATATATAAGAGAGAGAGAGAAAATAGGATTTTCAAAGGGGCCTATGGGAGTTAGACAGTTAGATGGTGTCTAACTCCCATAAGCTCCATTGAAAATCCCACCTTTACAAGATTAAATGTTCATAAAGTGTGGGGCCAGATTCTTCACTGCCTGGCACCTTGATTAGTCACGTCCATCTAGGCAAAGGAAGTGCCAAGTGGATGCCAAACCCTGCTCAGTGAGAATGGCAGCATTTTGCACTGGTGTAAGTGACTAAATGTGGTGCAAGTAAGGCTTGGTCTATACTGCAGAATTAGGTCGACATAAGGCAGCTTACATCAACCTAACTCTTTAAGCGTCTACACTAAAATGTAGCTCTCGCCGACTACACCGACTTAATAACTCCACCTCTGCAAGAGGCATTGTGCTTAGGTCAATGTAGCTAGGTCGATACAGTGTCAGTGTAGACACCGAGTTGCTGACATCAACTGTTGCTGTCTTCCAGAAGCCGTCCCACAATGCCCCCCACTGACAGTTCAATCGGTGCACGCGCTCCTGGTGAGGATGTGCACCGCTGACACAAGGAGTGTAGTGTGGACATGGAAAAGCAATTTAATTACTGCGGTGGCTGTACATTGACGTAACTTAGGTCAACTTAATTTTGTAGTGTAGACTTGCCCTAAGAAAAGAAACAGGCATGTAAAGCAAAAGATAAAGGCCTGATCCTGCAAACCCTTATTCACCAGAGCAGTCCCTTACTTGTGTGAGTATTATTATTGTAATTATCTGTATTACTGTAGCACCTATGAGCCCCAGTCATGGACCAGGACCCCGCTGCGCTAGGTGCTGTACAAACACAAAAGATGGTCCCTGCCCCAAGGGGCTTAGTCCCATTTATTTCAATAGGATTACCTGCACTGGTAAAGCCTACTTGCATGAAAAAGGGTTTGCAGGATCAGGTGTCGAGCGCTAAGTGTTAGTACTGTTTCATGTGTCCCTGAATGGCATATATATTTGTGAGACAGGCACAAAGGTAAGGAGCTATTCTGCTTTGAACTAGGCCAACTGCATCTAGTTTAGGTGTTGGGTTTCATATGGTTCAGGCCCAGGACAACTGGGGAAAACTGACCTGCTCAATCTGAACAGCATTAGCTAATATGCAAATATAACTGTGGGTGCTAATTTGTATATACTAGACTCTAATGGCTGCAGTCTCTTGTAGTAAGTAAAGCCATACCTGGTGTTTGGATATGCACAGTTCAACTCATGATACGTCATTGCTGTGCAAGTAAGCAACCATCTTTCAAAATGAAATCTGATAGCAGCTTGCATGCGGGGAGGGAGCCGGATGTCCTAAATGCACCGACTTTTCAATAGTAATGCTCAACACAAACATAAACATTAATTCATCCTCACAACATCACTGTGAAATAGGTCAGTACTTATTATTATCTACATTCCACAGAAGGGGAAACTGATGCACAGAGAAGTTAAGTGACTTTCCCGGGACATACTATGGCAGATCTTCAGCTGGGGTAAATTCTCATAGGAGCATACAGAATTATGCCAATTTATCCCAGTTGAGGATTTGCCTCGTGGTGTAATCAGTCTGGGATTAGAATTCAAGAAAGGTTTTCAACAGTGAGTTTCATCACCCACCCTAGCAATCTTCGTTTCCAGGGACCTGGATTCAAATTTGACTTGGTAATATGTGGACGATCAACGTCAGTTTCACAACTATCCCCTAGTGGGCATTCATTCACTTCACAAAACCACACACAAGTGGCTCTGCTTAAAAAAAGGTCTGTGATGGATTGAGCTGGCACATATATATAAGGATGCTTTTGTAGCCCCCTAACTATACTATAATTCACTAACAGCCCCATAATCCAATAAAGAAAAAAAATTATCACAACCATTTGCATTCCTCCATAATACTGTAACTAGAGGGATTAGACCATAGTGGTATTGTGCTTATACAAGAGCAGAACGAATTCTATTTCTCTGCACAATCATATAACGAAGAAATTTTTGAACTGGTTTGTGTCTATACAAGCACACTTCATACGAAAGAGACAAATACCTCAAAGATCACTGAGCACTGAAAATCCTTTTCCGGCTGCAAAACCTTTAAATAGCCAAGTCCTGCTTTAAATAAGAACATCTCAAATATCATAAGCAAGAAATCATGCAAATATATGGAATGTTATGTACCACATGGCTATGGGAATTACCCTCCTCACATACTCTGGTATAGGTATCCCTGCCACCAGGATTTGGGAGAGATTTTGAACCATCAAAACAGCGCTTTGACTTGCACTTAGAAAATAAACAACAAAAAATATTAACTCTGTAACACTGCATTGGAGACACATCAGCATCAGACTTGCTGAAAAAGAAGCAAAAAGATCTACAGAGACACTCACCAGTATTTTAACCTGAGTTTCCAAATAGGGATGACTCAAGGTTTTAGGATAAAGTACTTCTTGTTTCCCCCGCACAATTACTGCTTTCTGCACAGACAACAGAAAGCAGATCAGTTTAAACTTCACTAAAGCCGTACCAACCAGCTGAATAATAAGAATTATATTCCAAACGAGTGCTTGATGACAATTATTCCATAAGTATTCGGTCGACTAAGACATTTAAAGGATTTTACAGGATTTTTTTCTCTTCGAAATTTCAAACAATCAAAAGTTGAAACAAAAATGATTAAAAAATAAAATGAAAACATCAATCATTTTACACATTTTGCCTGTGCTCAGAATCCCCCTGCCTAATCAACAGGAGAAGCTAACAGATTCTTTTAAACGCAGATACAAAAAATCTGAACCGGACTTGCAAAAACCACACCAATTGAGGCACTGCATTATATATGTCTTGATGTGCAGCCAAGATCTCCATGCCTGGTAAAGAGTCAAGGAGCTGCACAAGTAAATCAGAAAGAGAATAGCAGGTTCTGGTTTGAATAGCAATTAAAATTCATGTAAGCCGTGATAGATCATAACAGAGGACAGCAACCGAAACATGCTACAGAGCTCTAGGCACACTGGAGATCTTTTTGAAATGAACTAGATAAGCCTCGGCACATGAAATTCAGGCTGCTTCCCCTTGATTAAATAAGCCACAAACACTGTAAGGAAAATCAGATCTTTTGGAAACCTGCCACAGTGTGGAAAAGTGCAGTGTCCAACCCACCTTTTCACCTCTTGTATTCCCCCTTTTGTCCCCACCGTGCGTGGTCTATCATAAAACTCGCCGCTTTGTTTTAATGGGAAACTGGCAACGTAGCTCCGAGGGTGTCTGCAGCAGAGTGGAGATTGTCATTGATTTGTGTGAGGAAAGTTAAGCCTTTCAAGGAGCGGTTATGAGTATTCACTCCCACCACTCCCTCTAAACCAAAAGTATTTGGCACGGAGCCCTAGCTGTCCACCTGTACTATTAAGGTCTAACCAGCGTGTGGGACATGGACCAATTTTACGAGTAGCTTTTCATGCTTTGTTTTCAGAACAAGTAAATTAAGTTCCTTTGAAAGATTCTCTGGTTTTAAAAAGGTGATGTTTCTAGATATAACATACACGCCTGACACCCTTTGGACCAGATCCTCACCTGTTGTAATCTGACATAGCTCCTCCAGTAGGGTCAATGGAGCTGTGCTCATTTATATCAGTTCAGAATTTAAAATCAGAGTTCTCTGAGTGGGGTTTGTTGTTTTTTTGCTTCATTTTTAAACGTGAAACTTGCTGAAACTAAGGAAAACTGGTGGGTTTAGATGTTTTTAAAAGGATCTGGGTATAACTTAACAAAGCATCAGGTATTGTGCATTAATCTGCAGAGTGGGAAGGAAAACAGAGGCAAGGAGCACATAAATGCCGTTTTATTTAGCCAATAAGACCGAACAGGCTGTACTGGTCTCGGTGATTATCTCACAACTCAGGTGGTGGGTAAGGCATGAGGTGGAAGACTGAGTGACGTTAACCATCAACAGGTACAGTAATCCCCTCCAAATGCACTGCCTGGAGTTTCCCCGAGCCATTAATGGAATTTACGTATAGTAAAGCGGGAGACAGAGAGAGAGAACAATTAGGCACATGCATTTCCAGGCACTATTAATAAAGGAATGACATCACCGACAGAGTCAGAAATCCACATTTATGTCCAGGGTTCAAAAGCCACCTCGGAATAATATGCATTCATGCAGAGGGCTGTGCTGCATCGGGGCCAATCCAGCATCGTTTTGCTCAGGTGAGGTAGACTTATGTGAGAAGGCCCATGGGACGGCCCTTATTTTTTTTCATCTCTGTACAACAAGATCAGGAGTTGCTGAGTGCTGCAAAAAGCAGCAATAAATACCCCAGGCAAATGTAGGTGAGCACGGATTATTATATTTTATTATCAATTATAATAATAATTATGACGATAATAATGGTAATAATAATATTGGGAGGAGGGATGGGGCGGGGGTGCTAAGAAAACAGTCATTTATTTTGAAATAGTGTTGGCAACCCTACCCATGGGTCTGACTTCCAGCTCACTAGAATCACTCTTGATTTATACCAGTATGAGAGGAGAACCCGGCCCATTATTATTAATTTGTGTCACAGAGTCATGGGATTTAAGGCTAGAAGGGACCACCTGGTCCGACCTCCTGTATATCATAGGCCACTAGCTCCCACACACTAAACCCAACACAGAAATCACAGTAACACCTAGAGACCTCATCTGAGACCAGCCCCCATTGCCCCAGGCACTGTATAAATACGTAACAAGAGACAGGTCTGCACTGGACCACTTACAATCTAAATAAACAAGACAAGACAAAGAATTGGGGAGGAAAGCAGCTTGCACAAAGGCACACAACAGATGAGTGGCAGCGTCAGGAATAAACCCCTTACCTCCTGACTCCCAATCCAGTGCCTTAGCCACTAGACCACATTGCCTCTGGTGACTTGCTGCTCACCTGAGTCAGGACAGAACCCTTGCCATCTACATAGGTACCTGTATCCTTTATACTCTGATTCTTGAAATTCTTTCATTCCCTGACAGTTGTAAGTTGTGTGAGTTTCCGTGTATCGAGCCAAATACTACACACTTTTTTCTGTCTGTCCTAAGGTATTATGAAGATATTTTTAAAACAGAGGCGCACCAATATACACATTCCATGCTTTGAATTGCTGGTTTACACTATAACATTACATTAAAAAAAAACCCCAAATCACAGCTTTAGTCTAATTAAAAATTTCACACAGGGTGAGTCTTCTAACATAAGAGGTAAAACCAAGGGTCAAATACCCAGATGGCAACACAGTGCTTTCAAGGCATTGATTTGAGGAGGCCGTTGCTTAGAATGATTTGACTTTTGAAACACTTACTGTACGCCCTTTGTACTTAGACAAAAACTGAGACGGCTTCCATCCCCACACCCAAACTACTATCTGCAATTTCTCTGACTACCAGGTTTCTAGGGAGTGTCAGGGTAAATTAATAAGTGAAGTCAGTGCTAGCAATCCGCCTGGCCCCAGATAAGGCAAAAGCAAAACTTGGGCATTATCCAGTAAATGCCAGTCTGATCCTGCAATGGAGAGGAACAGAAATCGCCAACCACTGCTTTTCCTGCAGAGTCAAAGAGCTTAGAGTTTAAGGCCAGAAGGGACCACCAGATCATCTAGTCTGACCTCCCCTGTATCACAGGCCATCGCCACCACCCAGCACCTTCACACCAAACCCAACACAACGCTCCCTCGCACACCCCACGCCCCCACTGATTTCTAATGGGAGTGTGGGGTGTGCAAACAATGCATGATCAAAATCACTGAACCAATTTCCCTCTTGGCATAGTCCCAATGGAGTTACATGAGCAGAGAATGTGAGCCCTTCTGTGCCCGGTGTTGTCAGTTCCTTTTTGGACAGACAAAAGCAGAATGAAGAGGAGACCTTCTAACCTTCCTCTTAGTACTGGCAGCGGTGGCCAAAGAGGGCTGGACTGAGGGTCATTTGCTAGACAAAAGTGAGCAATGGGGGTTGGAGGGGAGGAGTCAGGGTGGGTGGAGCAACCCAGGGCCAGAGTAGGTATGCTCCAAGAGTTGGTTAATGTTTTTTGCACAAAAGGCTTTTTTGTCAAAAAATGGCCTTTTCCGCTGACCTGTTAATAAAAAAAATTACTTTCTTTACTGCAATTTTCTATTTTTTCAAGACATCTTCCATTATAGTTTAATTGATATTTTATGAATATTTTACCAACATTTTTATCAAAATCATTTCCAAATTTTTTCATTTGCAGAACCCCATGTTTTCTTACCGAAAAAAATCTCAAAAATGATTATGATAAAAGATATTGCAAAAATCATATAAAATAAAAAATAGGTCAATTTTGAACCCTGAAAAATGGAAACAACTTTGAATTTTTTCATGAAATCGATTTCTCGTTTTTGCAGTCAGGCCTACTCAGGATGAACTGGTCTTCCAATCTATAAAGGACTTTTACAAGATACTAAAATACTTCTAACATGGCATGAAATACAGTAGCAGAAGGGAAAAAAGTGCAGATCCTATCTACAGGTAGTTCATTGGTATCAGAAACAACACTTAAGAAAATAATATAGTCTACTAAAACTAGAGAGGTAATATAAAAGGCTGAAATTCTCGGTAACATCAGTGCAGTCCTATGAAGTCCTAGAGTTTAAATTTATTTGCACTCCCCTGCACGTCAGCGGCAGATTAGAGTTGGTTGAAAGTTTTGTAATGAAGTTTTATTTAATTGGAAAATAGAGCTTTGCCAAAAAATTTTTTTTTTTTGTGAAAATTCTTTTTTCTACAACATTTTTTGTTTTCTGGCATTTAAAAAAAATATTTCGGGGGGAATAACAAAAAAATTGCTTTCTGAAATTTTTGGTTTTCCACAATTTTGTTGGTGTTCTTTTGTGAAATTTGTTTTTTGGAAATTATTTGTTGAATAAAGATGAAACATTTTGTTTTCCCAAATTTTTCAAAACAAAACATTTCAGGGGAAAAAGGTGATTTTTTTTTAATTGTTGCCATTTTTTGTTTCACAATTGAGGGGTTTTCCCCACTTCCTGAATATTCTCCAATTTTTGCCAGTTGGAAAACAGTAACAAAGTATTGAAAGTGTTACTTGCAGAAAGAAAGTAATGCTTTCAGTTTTGAAAGTAACACTCTTCCGCACCTGGTTAAAATTTTTCAAAGAAAAATGTAATTTGTCCAAAAGAGGCCTTTTTTTCAAGACCTTTTTTTTTTTTGGTGAAAATCTGATGAACTTTTTATTTTAATTTCATTTTGTCACAAATTTTTGGTGACTTTTTTTTTTAATCAAAAATGCTATTGAAACTGTTACCGAAATGAAAATATAAGTTCCCCTTCCCCAAAATGTTTACACTCTAAGTCCCTGATCTGTGAACACTTTATGCATCCAACTACAGAAGCAGTTTCTCCTCCCTTGGTGTTCACACCTCAACTGCTAGCAGAGCACCTCACCCTCCCTGACTGAACTAACCTCGTTATCTCCATACTGATTTATACCTGCCTCTGGAGACTTCCATTACTTGCATCTGAAGAAGTGAGGTTCTTACCCACGAAAGCTTATGCTCCCAATACTTCTGTCTCAAAGGTGCCACAGGACCCTCTGTTGCTTTATGCATATACTCAACTTCACTACTATGAGCAGTCCCACTGATTTCATGTGGGACTGCTCACGGTAATAAAGTCAAGCAGATGCACAAGTGTTTGAAGGAGCTGCGCTTAATTTTAGATGAGATGCAACAAGTGAAAGGAAACAGCAAGAGGGAGGAGATGTGTGGGAGAGAATGGACAAAGCCTACAACAGAGTCATCATACAGTTACATAGTTTAGGGATGTCCATATCCTGGCAATTCAATTGACAGTAGCTGATTTTTATCTTTTATTTTAATAAAAATCATTATTATTCGCTCCTTTCTTGTGGGCATTGGGGAAGGGATGAGTCTTAAGGACAAATTTAATTTCTAATAACCATATGTTTTTCAGAGACAGGAGCCCTTTCCAGCGAGTGCCAGAATTAGAAGCTATCTATTCTGAGTCATGGAAGATTACTCTCTGTGGCATCCATATTACGTTTATATGCAGAATCTGAGTCAAAACATGAGTTACCTGCTGCCAAAACATTCTCAACCAAAAAGCCAGGACTATAACAAACCAGCAAAAATCCTTATTAAGGCAATTAAATCCTTATTAAAACAATCTAGCTGGAGTTCAAAAGATTTTACAGGGTGTATTGTTCAAAATTGTAATAGTTGTAAGCCAGATTTATCCTAAGGGATCCCAAAGGACTTTACTGAATGCCAGAATCTCAGGTGTAAATCAATAAAACCCCACGGTCTTCACTGGAACTACAGTCATTTACATTAGCTGAGTATCTGCCTCAAATTAATACATAGTATAAACCCTACAGAGGGAACCACTTCAACAATCACCAAAATGCAGCTACCTCTGGGCTGAAGCACACCAACTGTTCAACAGTGAAAAGCAACACATTGGATCTGTTTAAGACTGAGTGAAGAAGAATGGGCTAGCCAAGTAAAACTTGAGAGAAAATGTTGGCTAGGCAGAATATCATCGAAACTGGAATCTACTCAGGTTTCTGGGGTGAACTCCTTCACTCTTACTAATGGTGTCATGGGCCATTAGTGCACATTAGACAAATGACAGTGCTCCTAGTACAATCACAGTACTGAGCTAGCCCAACTCTGCTTAGCTTGTAAAGGACAACAGGATCACAGCCCACACCTCTGTCTACCATGAAGACATCTCTCGCATGAGGAATGAGACACATCACTTAAGTATCAAATAGGTTTTAAGGAGGGCTGGTGAAATAAGACCTGAGCAGAACCTCTGCCCAAACTTTGAATTAAACCTTTACTGTTGTTTGGAAAATGTTTCGATAACTTTCCCCACCTTCCCAATTTCTAGGCTAGCTGAGCGCAGGAAAAGCAGTAGACATTTTCTGGTGAGATTGACCATCCAATTTGAGAGGAAGGATAGTCAGAGGCCAGGGAACTAGGCTAGGAGTTGGAAGACCTGGGCTCCATTTCCTGGTGTGCCACAGGCTTCCTATGGGACCTTGGACAAGTAACAAAGTTCTCTGCGCCTCATTCCCCTATCCGTAAAATGGGGTTAATAGCTCTGGCCCTGCCTCCCAGGTGCTGTGAGGATATTGTGAGGTGCTCAGCTACTTCGGTGATGGGGGCCGGATAAGGCCATTAGAGAGAGGGAATTCTGCAGATCCAACTCGTGCAAAGGTCTGATAAGCTTTCAAAAGTTTGAGACCCCGCTTCAGGAAAGGTCTTAAACATGTGCTTAAAGTTAAATATGAGCTTAAGTGCTTTCCTGAATCAGGGTCAGAGTGCTTATCCAAAGGGAACCTCTGTACTGTCTGAGACTGGCGCATCCCCGTTTACAAGGACACTGATGCATTTTCATTATTCCGCAGTCAAACTGCGTGCTGTACACCTACGGATGCCCAACGTGGCAGCATGAGGAGCTCTGGGCTTTGATAAGTCACAAAGGCTGAGTACTACAAATTAAATTCATCCTTAAGCTTCACCCTTTTCCTGTCTCCACCAACCACCAAGCAGGTATGAAACAATAGTGAATCCCTGCACTGAAGATCGCGCTCATTTCATTGTGCTTAATTGCAGTCAGAGTCCAGAAAGCATTTGGATAACAAACAGTGTGAGGGCTGTGTCTGAGAGAAGAGTGGCCACAACTGCTGCTCCCACCGATACGCCATATCAATCAAATGAATGCATATATAGCTGCTTAAATAAATACATATATAAATACTGCATCTATTGCTTGATTACTCGGCTACCGTATAAATTCCTTAGGCAGCAGCCGGTTCTTTCTGCTTGTTTCTAAAGCTTAACGTACTCTTTTCTTTTTAGAGGGTCAGAGCTTCAAGGCAGGAAGTCCACTTCCATTTGTGTTTATACGCTGGCAGGATAATGTGGGTGCTACTGAAAATGAATAATGTTAATACAGATTAATTTTAAATGCGAGCATACATTATTAGTGTTATTCATAACTCACATGACAGCAGCATTTAAAGGCCCCAGCCAATATGGGGGCCCCGTTGTGACAGGCACTGTTCATACCCATAGTCAGACATTGTCTCTGCCGAAGTGTTTATGCTCTAAATGGACTGGACCAACCAAGGGTAGGAGAAAGAATGTATTACTA